TTGTTGAGTAGTTATTAGATGATGGGTTGCTAGAGTGACAGAAGCTCAAACCCTAGTTTATGCGCTATTCCATAAGGGACTGATTTGGATCCATATGTTTAATGCTATGGTTAGATTGTTATCTTAATTATTATTTCATAGTTGCAGATGCTTTCGAGGGGGTTAATCATAAGTGGGAGGTTTGTTCAAGTAAGAACATCACCCAAGCACTGGTCCACCCACATATCAAATTATCAAAGTAGCGAACGCAAATCAAACCAACATGATGAAAGTGACTAGATGAAATTCCCGTGTGCCCTCAAGAATGCTTTGCTTATTATAATAAAACGTTCCAGCCTGTCCTTTGCTACAAAAAGGATTGAGCTTTCTTGCTGCACATTATTTACTGTTAACGTTACTTGCTTGTTACAAATTTCAGTGCTTGCAGAAACTACCTTGCTGAAAACCGCTTGTCATTTCCTTCCGCTCCTCGTTGGATTCGACACTCATACTTATCGAAAGGACTACGATTGATCCCCTATACTTGTGGGTCATCAAGATACCTATTGGGTGCGGGAGAGGGCTAGCGGCATGCGCGAGCGGCGCAAGAAGAGGGCGGAGCGGCGCCGTCACCATCCCCCTTTCTCCTCCGCGTTGTGGTTCGACCTCGTCGTCCACGATCTCGGTCGGCGCTGGCCTCGATCGGTGCCGGCCTCGATCCTGGTGCCGGCAGGCCCATCCCCACCTCTCTTGCCACCACGGGAGGCGGATCCTGCCTGTATCGGAGGGATCTAAACACCCTCCACTTGAATCTCTGCTCTGGAATTGGTGATTCTGCCTCCAACATAGCCCACAAGAGAACGCCCATGGCCGGCTGTGTGTCATAGTTGGGGAAGCATCTCAACACCTCCTCGTCGTCCATCCTCCCCCTCACCTCTCACGCCACCTTGTTCAGTGCTTGCTTGGTCGGGAACCACCTGTCCATCTCCTACAGCCTCTCCATCCTCACTGCATCATCGTCGGCCAACGCCCACATCTGCTGCTCCCTTGTTGTCATCGCCTCCCTCAGGCATGGTGGGAGCCGAATCTAGGTTTTTTGTGGTGGAGGGGAATGACAACACAGACGAGTGGGGAACCGAATAGTGGGTGGGTTTAAGTAACCTCTGCTCCACCCGCCCGTCGCCATTACTCACCTCGAACCCCGCGACATGACGAGCCACACTCATATCCGACGCAACTCTAGCTATATGACATGGGGGTACACTAGTTGACCTGGAACAAAACCACCATCATCACCCCATCCACAGGCGTCCACCGTCCAACCCACAACATTGCCGAGGACTAGCCTCTCCCCTCGCCGGAGCAGGAATCCTGGCCGAAAAACCAGCAAGGATGCGCCGAGATCAGGGACGAAGACGTGCGTAAGTTGCGTGTCGCACGAGAGAGAATCAACATTTGAAAAGCATATGGACCATCGTCTTCGGGGCATCATTGCAGAGGGGGCAAAGACCACAATTCGGCCAACCTCTTTCTACAAGTCGGTTCGTCATCCATACCCGGTTTTTTGTTGATAAGCCAGGCACACTTTGGAGGGGGGATCCTTCCATATCGTACTCTTGAAGTTTGTGCAGGTGGCGCCAACGAATCGTGGACTCCGACTCCCTCTTGCAAAGCTGGCATAGACCGTTGTTTGGTCATCCCTGCCTTTGCAGTCAGTCGGCAGTCTACAACTGTCCTTGATGAAAAGCCATGCAAAAAACTTACACTTGTGGACCAAAAAGAGGGAGGAGGGTTAGGGGTGTAAATGTCAAATAAACTACGCCAGCAAGTCCTGTTTAGTTAGTTTTAGCTAGCTTGATTGTTCATTCCTCGGAATTTTTTTATTGAACTGTTAGACCATAATGAGCTTAAGCAAGATTAAACTGGACCCGATTTACATCCGTAAGGAGGGTGAAGGCCTTGTTCGTGACCCCAATAGCAATTTTCACATACATGTGCCGTTCTGGACCAAAGTGGACAAAAAAGCTAGGTTTAAGGTGCAGGTTTAAAACCATTTATATGCACTAAGAGCATTACTAGTAGAGCCCTCAAACCCTCAAACCCCTAAAAATAACTGCTTTTTTACAGTTTTCGTCGAAAAAAAACCGTAGACTAGAACCCCTTAACCCTCAAACCCTCAATTTTTTTTTAAAGGTCCAACCTTCAAACCCTCTCCCAATTCTCAAAAGTAAGGGTTGAGAAGCAAAACCTACCCCAACCCTCATTTGGCGGTTATCCTCGCGCGGGAGGGAAAAATCCTCCCAACTCCCGCGCCCACGCCCGCGACCGCCGCTGCTAGTCGCCCCCGTCGCCGGCGGCCGCCCCGTCGACCTCCCGCGCGCAACGACAACGTCGTTCATGGAGAATATTCCGTTATAAGGGTTGGGTTTGAGGGTTCTAATCTTTGCCTCTGTTTTTCAACCCATAAAAGTGCACAAAAAAATTATTTTTGAACCCTTAAAACGCTAGTGAGAGTTTGAGGGTTTGAGAGTTCTACTAGTAATGCTCTAATAAAGTGAATTTAGGTGCAAACCGTCAATTTCCTGTAACATTTACTGGTGGAGCTGAACATAGCGAGGTGTTTATCCGGAGCACAAGGCGACGGGCAGGCAGCTGGCCATCGCTTTCCTTCATGTGGGTGGTGGCGCGTGACTGTGTTGTGTGAGCCCAGGGGACGCACGTAGTACGTGCGTGCGTGCCGGCAACCCAATCACCTGCACCGAACTGGGATCGTCTGTTAGGGATAAGTACCAGGATGAACCTTTTGCTCGCCGTTGAAAAACCAGACCGGATCGCCGCCGTTCCTTTCCATGGAAATCGCTGGGTTTTCCGAGAGCGACGGAGAGCCAGGGGAGCAGAGAGCCGGCACGCCTCCCTTTCGCGCCGTTGCCCTCTCCTCATCCTGTCCCCGCCCCCGCGGGTGCATGCCGGGATAGACCGATCGAGGCGTTACGCGGTTGCCGTTTGCAGAGCCGGGCGATCGACGGTTGGCTGGCGGCAATGGCGCGGCGTGCGTGCGTGCGCGCGCGATAGGCCGGTGGATGGTGGTGGTGCGACTGGCGACTTGTCGCCGCGGCCGATGGATGGGCGCCCACCCGTGTCGGGCCGGGGGCCTCCGGCGAGCGACAGGCAAGCGGCGCGCACCGCGCGTGCGATCGACAGCGGAGGGACAGAAAGGTCGGCACCTGACCCACGCATCTGCGACATGGAGCCTTCTCCGTCACCTCCGTCCCCGGTCGTCCCCGGCCTCGTTCCATTATTACCAACTCCCGTTTTTCCTTAACGCCATCGCCATGGATGATCCTCCATCGACCAAGGTCACGACAAAGCTCAGCTGCATCTGCATGCACCAACCAGTTGATCGTCTGAGAGTGTCGTCTGCCGGACAATCAATTACCGGCGGGTGAATTTACACACCGACTGCGACACACTGGCCCTCGACTGCAAGGCTTTCATATGACCACCTGCTCCGGTCCGGTGACTTGGCTGCCGGCCGGCCAGCGAGGGATCGACAGGGAAATTTCTGCGCATCCATTCAAGTGGTGAGACCAAATTAACTGTGCTGTGCTTCACTCATAACCCCAGGGCGCACGCTGTACATGCTCATTCATTCGGTCAGTCGGTGCCCCGGCCAGTCCCCACGCATTCGGTTTGTCTGTAGCAGCGCTCTTCACACACTACTCTGAAGATATTTACCAGTGCAGTGATATTTCTCTGAAACTTTTCTGAAGATAGCTTTTACATGCATGTGTCTGTGAGAACTGAGAAGGAGAGCAATGGACAGTAGTGGATGCAAACTGCACAGCAAGCTTGTTCCCAGCTTCCAGAGACGGATGCACGATGCAGCAGAGATGGCATATCTGTTTTGGCATGGCATGGGTACTATAGCTACTACTGGCCGGTGATGCAACGCAGCAACTTGCAGCTGCATGCCCCTGAATGTTAGTTGGTGCTAATGGGAGCCTCCTCATCCTGTGAATGTGTGTCTCCTCATGGCATCTTG